GACTTTCTAATCATTGTTACATTAACACATTCACTGAATGATAACTATAAGCCAATAAATAAAAAAACAAATATAAAAACATGCATTTTGTAAGCAAAATCTCTTTCTATCTATTTTATACAACTGTTTCAAAGCATGTAGACAAACCTGTATGACCTCTTACACACAAACAAAGATCCCAGATGCGCTTGGATCAAAACAAGCGACAAGACTTTGACACACAGCTAAGTGTAGTTTTAATGACCAGCCCAGACTGACATTGTTCTGACAGTTGCGTGTGTCAGCAGGTCGCTGTGCAGCTCTGCTGGGCCGCTGTTCCCATCCTGTACTGGCCGCAGAACGTGTCTGGAGCGTGATTAACTGGATTATTGCGAGACGCAGTGGGACCTGCTTGTATGGGGTGCGCTTTGTGGAAAAAGGGCCCATCTTTCCAGCAAAGCATGGCGCAATATTTAATGCGAAACATAATGCAATCTGATGTCTGGTTTCAGCGCGAGGATTCGGTGTCGAAAATGTTTTAACACGGCCTCAGAAATGATGAAGACTGAAAGATGAAAAGTCATGTTTCTAACGGGGATTAATGTGAAGAATGTGGGTCCTAAAATTTGGTGATTTGCTGTGGACAACATCTTTGCGTCAAACTTCACTGACAGGAATGCAGGCGGTCAGTTATTGAAAACTCTATTCCAGTTATTTGCTCTGAAATCGACTGGAATTCATGCAAAGGGCTCCGACAGTTATGATAAAAATATAACTCACTGCGATGAATTGGATGAAGCCTTGATGAGTCCAAAGATGTAAATCAGGGTTTTCCTGAACACATATAATCTGGGATGATTTGGCAGCGGCGACTGAAGGTCTGGAGGCCGGATCCATAGATGCGACAGAAATTTGTCTGAATGCTGTGTCTGATGGACGCTGCTGATGGGGGTGGTTTGGCGTAACCGGGCTCCACCTCAAAGCTCTTTAAAAGTCCTCAGCTCAAATCAGGTTAAAGGCCGTCAGCTCTGGGCCTGATCAGTCAGAAACCAGAGTCTTTGCGGGAGACGGAACAGGGGATCAGACCCAGAAAGCGCTCCAAAGAACAATAGAGCGTCAGACGGCATCAATCATGCCTTATAAACGAAGGCACCGGAAGGCAATAAACAAAGATACTGAAAGGAATTTTTGTTTATATGAAAAGGTATTTTTCCCATAAACCTGAGCTGGATAAGCGATTAGAAAGAGAATGAAAGGATGTGTCTTAAGGCTGTGACCTCATAGGAACCCTTTCAGGTAGACGGTCTGTTAAGTAGCACATGCAATCTTTTGCCGGGAAGGGCTACGGAGCTACCAAGCAGGACAGAAACGTGGGGCGGGTCTGTGTGCACATGTTGGGGAGGGGGCCGCAGAGCGAAGCCTGTCCGGCCATCTGCTACCACAAACATCACCACAACACTGCTGAGTCAGTCACGTTCCTCTCCAGCCTGACAGGAAGTGAGAACTTCCAAAGGGGGGAAAATGAAATGTCAACCACAACGTCTTCATTTCTACCTGTCGAAAGGAGAAGAGAGAAGAAAAAAACTCCGAAATATAAACACAAACAGACCGACCCCGAGAACCTCAGAGTCGAAAACAAACTTTTCATTTGAGGGCTTTAAAAGAATGTTTAACTAATAGCTCCAGACTCATAACTAAAATCTATTTATTTATTGCACTTTCTGCCAAACTTGCACAATCTTCCCCCACCAATTAGGAGGGTGACTGTGTTTCGTTTTCATCTTAATGTCTTAATGCCCATGTCTATTGTGTATGTTGCTCATTCATTTTCATTAGCACTACCAAAGAGGATAACATTCCACTTTAGGGTATGACTCCATGCATCATGCATCTGAAGTTGACAGTAAAAGATACTTTGACAGCTGGCATTTGGCATAGCATTCCTGTGGGCATATCTGTGTGCCGCGGTCACCAGTGAAGGTCTGAGAACCACGGAACCGCAGAGGAGGACAGTGAAGGTCTGAGGACCACGGAACCGCGGAGGGGACAGTGAGGGTATGAGGACCACGGAACCGCAGAGGAGGACAGTGAAGTTCTGAGGACCACAGAACCGCGGAGGGGACAGTGAAGGTATGAGGAACACGGAACCGCGGAGGAGGAGGAGTGAGTGACAGACCAACATAGCTTGGGTCAGGGAACGAGCATCAGGCCACAGTGAAGACTTCCACATAAAAAACTGCCAGAAAAACACACAGTTCCTTGGCTTTTACTGTTTCATTACAGAGTTTGCTGAATGCAGTGCTATGATCATTATTATTATGACCAATTACACGGCTACAGGGCCTGAAAAGGCTTGTCAGCAAGCAGCGCTTATTTTTGTCCAGTGAACGAAGAAGGAGATTAAAAGGTTCTGCATTTTTCATGGGAGGCGCACGTTTGCATGATTAGCTCTCTCCTCCCCTGGGCAGGACTCTGCTTTTTTAATCACCAAGGCAAAATGTACCTCAAGCATGCACCCGCCCCCCCCCCAGTGCAAGACTCTGCGGGACTGCAACAAATGAGCGTTTCAAAGACGGCGCTAATAAATGCAGGGACCGCAGCGATGTCGCAATAAAGGGAATTAATGAGCGTTCCGAAGGAGGACTCGCTGAAAGGGTGACAGGCCAGGACCAAGGGCACCGGCCCGGGCTTCCACCCAAGGACGAGACAGCGCCACACACTCCGGCCTGAAGAGGCCGCTTCCCAGGGGCGTCACCATGAACATTTATCTGAGCCTGGAATGTTAGCTAACCCTCTCCATCAACCTCATGAAATACCTGGAACTTAAAAAATATGTAGGTTTAAGAATCATCAAATCTTCCAAATGCTTATCCAGCAGCCAATCTCAGGCAGCAAAGAGTGAAAAGGTAGGAGAGGACCCTGGAAAGGGTGCCAGTGGACTGCAAGTTCCTCACGAACTACTAAAATAAAAAATGAAAAACCCAAGAATGTAAATGCTAATATTAAATTCAGTTCAATTTATTTTACATAGTTCCTTTCAAAAGAGTGTGTGGCAATCCATTACTATATAAT